AAAATCCCAAGGAACAAGGAGATCGGCAGACTCTGTAGCCTGCCAGGCTTGGCCTCTGCCCCTAACAAGCCTGTCCCCAGTCCACCTCACCACTGTGCTTCCTCTGCCCGTCTGGGGCTGCAGCAGGGTGACAGACCTGGGACACCAGCACCCCCGGCTAGCGTGCTGGCTTCAGGAGAGCATATGGAGGGATTTTGCTTTTTGGCACAAACATGATGTTAAAACTGTTCTGCCATCTCTGAACAAACACCAACTGTGACTGTCCCTGCCAGCTTTGGAGACACGCAGAGCAGCCACCAACAGGATGGGGAGCTCTGGGGCCCCAAGGACACTGGGCTTCCCAGCCACTCTGGCCCAGGGTGTCCGTGAGACACGTCCTGTCCCAGGACAGCTGGGCATAGCCACCCGGGGCAGAGCCGGGCCATTACAGCCATGCAGGGGAGGCGCGCAGAGGAGTGCAGGGGCCTAATGGGGCAGCTGTGACTCAGAAGCGCACCGCGTGCTCCAAATCCTTCCAAATTGCCTGCCGTCATCAGACCGCCGCTGCCGGTAATGACACAATCCCCCTCTTGCTGTGTGGCGGCACTCGATGCCCTGATTTGAGCACAAGCTTCAGAGTTAATTCTGTGAACGCTCACAGCAGCTTTCAACCTGAGATTTACTATCCAATCTTGACAAGCAGAAGGCCTGGACGATAGAGCAGTGGTGACAAGAGCGGGGCCAAGGGCTCGATACGGAGGGCCGGGAGGGGACCTGGGCCAGGCATAACACAGCTGTCCCTCCACAAGCTCCGGAGTGCCCGGGCCCTCCTGGCCATGGCGCTGAGCCCGAGCCAAGCTGCAAGCCCACACCAGCCCCACTATGCTGAGCTCCACAGAGCAGGGGGAGGCAGGCTGCATGCCATTGCCTGGCTTTGCCACCACACAGGTCTCAGGGCTGCTGGCAGCATCCCAAGGGTCAGATGCACTCACAGCCCGCCACACGGCCAGTCTGTGCCACACACAACCCTGCAGGATGAAGGCACACAGCTGTGGGTCTGCATAGCACCAATGCACTGGGTCTCTGGGGGGGTCGGTGGGCACCCACTGTGCACAGGCACTCCTGAAGGGGCCAGAGTGCCAGGCTACTCGGGAGCCACAGTCACTGCCACTGGCAGGGTAAGAGGACCTGGGCAGGTGACCTGGAAGGATCCCCTTTCTCCCGTGGCTGTGTCAGCATCTCAGAAGCCAATTACCCATGTGCCCAAAGACACAATGTTGGGTGCCATTCCCAGAACCAGCCGAGTGGGACTCAGGCCCCTCAGCTGGTCCCCATAACCACTCTGGGAGGAGGCACGGGCCTGTGTACGGCCGTCTGTGACAGCCACCTCCTGAGCGGGAAGGATGCTCCTTGTGCAGAGAGAGGACCCCTCCCATACACTCCCCGGGCACTGAGTGCAGGCCAGACAGGACACAGGGCCAAGGACTCAGGCCTGAGGGACAGGCTGGGGCTGCTCCGAGGGTCTCCCTGCTCTGGGCAGACAGGGGCCTGGGGGCTGGTGCGAACACCGTGGGATATAGTACTCTGCTCCCGCTCTCCAGGGGACCAGCCCCACGCGCCCCTGCGAGTCTCCACAGACGACGCCCTGCTCTCTGTAACTGTGCCTTCTGAAGCACTCACTTTCTCCCGCCTTTCTCACTGAGGCTCGCCTCTGTGGCTGAGGAGAGGGACTCTGCTGGTGTGCCCGGTGAGGGACGGAGGCCCAGCTCACCCTGCCTCCATCTCCCCGGGCACCGTCTCTTCCCTCTGCCCCCCTCTCCCCTCCCAGAGCCTGTGCCAGCCCCAGCCTGGCAGCATCGGGGAGGGGCTGCCCAAGTGCCACAGGGGCCAGGATGGGACCACCGAGGTGCAGGCACTCAGAGCGTGAAGTCCCATGTGGCCAGCAGAGACTGCCAGGCCCCAACTCGGGCTTCCTGCTGGCCTCTGGCCCTGCCCTGGTCACTGGATGAGGCACCACACACCACAGGGCAGGGAGCCACTGGGTGGACACCGGCCCCAGCTGCGCCACCAGCACAGCCCATCGACCAGAGCCCCAGGAGGAACCAGGGCAGTGTCCTCTGTGACCCCAAACACCAGGGCCACCGGGGGGAGGTTCGAGAGCTGCTCAGCCTGGCTGCCTGGCTGTTGCATCACCTTGATGTTGGGGTCTCACTACCATGCACCAGCGGGCACAGAAAGGCTTCACAAGCCCCTGCAAACCTGCAAATGTCAACACTGAGCAAGAGCCACCAAAACAGTCACAAACCACGCAATCAAGCTGATGCCGACGTAAGAGGCTCTAACTAGGGAGACAGCGTGCACACAGGCGCAGGCACAGCTGCACCATCCCATCGCCAGGAGCCCAGCTGGCACTGGGCTCAGGAAGGAGAGGAAGGGCTGGGTGGGCCTCAGGCGCTGCTGTGGGGGTCACGTGGGTCTCTGAACCCAGCCTAGGGCAGGCATGCGAAGTCCGGAGGGAGGACGGCTCACAGATGAGGCGGCATCGGGGTCAGAGGGGCTCTGGGTCACTGAACCCCCTAAGGGCCCTGCCCTCCCGCAGCCCCGAGCCTGGGGAGGGGTGTCACTGTGGGAAGCCCCTCCTGGACAGACCCCTCCTGCAGGATGAGAACAGGGCCAGGCCAGGCGCCCTCGGCACTCTCCCCGGAGGAGCTGCTGCCATCCATTCGCTGTCCCCAGGGCTCTTCCCACGTCGTCATGGGAGGACACAGGTAGGGTGAAGGCCGGAGCTGTGCAGAGCAGCAGCAGGCAGCGGAGGGCCCTCCCAAGGCACAAACCGGGTCCTGCCCAAGTAGTGCCCAAACGGCCCACCAGGACCCTGTCCCCAGGGACACAGCTTCACCCAGGCCCTGCAAGGCCACAGAGAGGAGCCAGGGTCCCGGCAGGCTCCTACGCGTGCTGGGGGCAGTGTGTTCCCTCCCAGCTTTGCCTTCTGTGTTCTTTCTTAAGGAGGAGATGCAGTTTTCTCCCCAGACCTGAGCCAGATAAGGGCTCAGCAGAGGGGCTGCTTCCCAAGCCCCACCCACCCAGCCAGGCACCTGTGCCTCCCAGCCACTCCCGGCTCCAGGCTCCAGGCTCAGCCAGCAGCTGTAAGGAGGGACGCTGGTCACGCCCAGGAACCACCACAAGGAGAGCGGTGCGGAAGGGCAGGAGCGCCTCCTAGTGGCTCTCAGCAGCAGGACAGTTCCCACTACGGGCAAGCAGTGCCAGTCCACCCCACACATGCTCACAGCTGCCTCTGTGACCCGTGGCCTGGGCGTGGGAACCCATCCCTGGGAGCAGAGGCTGAGGCCAGCACTGCCACCTCACCCCACAGGGACGCTCAGGGCCCAGGGCTGCACCGGCCACACACTCTCCAACCCAGCAGGTCTGCTCCTGCCTCCAGGGAGCGGGCAGTGGGATGGCAGCGGGGACCCGTCACTGGGACACCATGACACGCTGGCCACCCTTTCTATGCTGGACCAGACAGAGCCACTGCACCTGGAAATGCCCCCTGCGTGCAGCTCAGGGCCACAATGCTGAACATGGCGCTTCTGGTTCCCCCAAATGCAGACTTGAGCCCTTTGAGAGACAGAGCTGACACCACCCCAACATTATCTCCAAAGTTTTCCCAAAAGACAAACACCTTGTCTACCAGTTTCCAAGATGAGGGGTCAATGCAAAGCTACAGAACAACCACAAAATGAGATCCGAGCTGAAAAGACGCTGGGATGACAACAGGATTCCAAGAAAGTGTCCCAGCTCGGGCTGGTGCCTGCGGCCAGCACGGGAAGAACCAGAGCCCATGAGGTCCCCATCATCCTCCCCAGGACCTGTGCAAATGTCACCTCTAGGGGAAAGGACTCTGTAGCTGGGCTAAGGACCCCCAGGGGGACCATCCTGACCACCAGGGCCCAGCATCCCCCAGGGCCCCTTGAGCAGGCTCGGGAGGGTGAGAGGCCGAGAGAGGCTGAAGATGGCAGTGCTGGCTCTCCAGATGGAGGACGGGGCTGAGAGCCAAGGCCTGCAGGCGCCTCTAGGAGCCGGGAGGGGACCAGGTTCTCCTGGAGCCTCATGAGGAGCAGCCCTGCCGCCTGTGCCTGGACTCAGCCCAGGAGGCTGGCTCGGGGCTTCTCGGCTCCGTGGTTGAGACAGAAAGTCTGCGCTGTCTGCACCCCATGAGGCATATGCAATGTGTTACTGCAGCCCTGGGACACGTGTGCCAAGCCTCACTGCTGCTGGCCTCCCGGCCCCACACCTGGCTGGGCGTCACCCACTTGCCACAGCAGGGCAGGGGCTCCACCTCAAGAGAACCCAGGGGGGAGTAGGGGGCAGTGGGTGCTGGGGCAAGCGGGAGAAGCAGTTCCCACTGGCACCTCCACCCCACTCCACAACAAGGCAAGGCAGTCCTGCCAGCTGGTGTTGGAGAGGGGCTGGCAGCAAGGAGAGATGCAGCCACCACCTCGGATAGACAGGGCTCCGTACCTGGGGTACCCCACTCACCTGCACCTGGGCACTGTGCCCTTCCCCTCCCCTCAGGACTGCCAGCTCTGCTGTGCCCCCCTCCTAGCCCATCATACCCTCTGAGCTGGGACCATGCAGAGACAGCAGCTCTGACAGCCAGGGATGGGCAAGGGGAGGCAGGGTCCCCATGCAACAGCAGCGGCTGGCACCATCCTGCCCAGTGACACTGCCTTGTGGCCCCTGCACCAAGTGCAGAGAAGACAGCATGAGACATATGTGTCAGGATGTCCCCTTGCAGCCCTCGGGCCCCTCTGACAATGGGACACTCGCCTCCGGGGCTGGCCTTGGGGCCGACTCGCCACCCAGCAGTCTGCAGTCTGGACCCAGGGCCCAAGGCCACAGCCAGGGAAGTGCAGGGTCAAAGCCGGGGGGACACGAGCTCCACACTCTGGCCCAGGGACACCAGCACTGTCCCAGCTCTGCTCTGGCTCCAGCGAGGACCAGCACAGCACAGCACTCACCAGGACTTGGGCTCGCCGAAGTGCAGGTAGTTGATGCTGTAGAGGTCCATGTCCTCCGTGTGCCAGGCAAAGGTGGTCTTCCACATGCCGAAGTATAGGTAGGGCGTGTTCACACCCTCGATGATGGTGCCGCACTCCCGCTCCACCATGTCCAGGATGGTCCGCAGGCTCCCAATGTTCCACTGTGCCACGTCCTGCGGGTAGGCAAGGGGATGCAGCGGGTCAGCACGGCCACCACCCAGGACCCAGGACTCATCCCTGTGCACCTGGGAAGAACAGGAGGCCTGGTCGGTCACCCCGAGTTCCTGGTGTGAACTGGGTGTCCAAGAGCCCGGGACCTGGCAGTCAGCCCCTGAGCCTGCCCACTGCAGAGTTCAAAGCCACCAGAGCCGATCACCACAGAGCAGGAGAGCCTGGCACATCTGCCACCACCTGCCCCTCAGACCACCACTGATCCTGCACTGTGCTGTGTGCCAGCTGTGCAGGGCAGGGATCTCGCTCCAAAGCCTGCACAGGGTCATGAACCACTGAGGAGGAGGAAAAGTCCCCACAGGGCGAGCCAGCATCAGTGTAGGCAGGGCCTGCTTCCACGACCGCCCTTCCAGCACCTGCGTCCCAGGAGGTGTGACAGTGTGCAGCCCAGCAGACAAGGGGACCCCGACAGCTCACCGATCCTTAACGCTACAAGCCCACCACCCCAACTCACCATGAGCGATCCTAAAAGGGTCAATCAACTCCAGGCCCTGGGCACTCCGAGCCTGCCAGTCTTCGGGACACTCAGGATCCCGAGTGTCCTCACTCATTCTCAGTCCACCCCACCCAGGACCCTGCGTTAAGGACCAGTGGCGACTGCAAACCGAGCCCTGGCAGGAGCCCAGAACACGGAGAGGTGACAGCATCCAACTCCTGGAGGCAAGGGTAAGAAGCCCAAGGGCTCCACAAGTAGGCGCTGCCCAAGGTCAGGAAAGGAACATCACAAACAAGTCACCCTCAACCTACAGCTGGGGCCAAACTGTGCCCCATCCAGCCCACACGCTCACAGCACAGTGGACCATGACATGGGCAGAGAAGGGGACCCAGGCCTGAGTCTGGCCCAGGTGCTGATTTATCTTGTGAGGAGAGAAAAGTGTTTCTCTGCTGTGCCTTGGTTTCCTCATCTGTAAAAAAGTGCTCCACAGCATATGAAACCCACAGGTGAGCCCCGACTGCCCCTGGCTCATGGCAGGTGCAGCTCGCAGGCCCCAGCCCACAGCTCTGAAGCCCGAGTGGCCACAGAGTCCTTCACAGAGCCATGGCTGCATGCAGCTGGAGGGGGGCAGGCACAAGGCAGGTTCTCATGGGACTGGGCTCTCATTGTGAATTTTTTTTTTTTTTTTTGGCACCAGCGATCAAACTCAGGTCCTTGCGCTTGTGCAGCAGGCGGCGAAACCACTGAGCTAAATCCCCGGCCCACTCCCATTGTGAACTTTTATTTAAAGACAGTAACAGGGCCGGGATTTACCTCAGTGGTGCCACACCTACCTGGCAAGTGCAAGGTTCTGAGTTCAATCCCCAATACCAAAAAAATAAAAATAAAAGCAGTAACAGAAGAGCCTTAAGGGATGAGACAACAAGCCACAGGCTGAGGGAAGGTGACTCGCAGAACACCTGACAGCCCCACAGCACACAACAGGCTCTCAAAACGCAGCAGCAAAACACAACCTCATTGAAAATGGACTGAGGACCTGAAGATGGGCCAGGCATGGCAGAGCACACCTGTCATCCCAGCACCGGGGAGGCTGAGGCAGGAGGACTGCCGAAAGTTCAAGGCCAGCCTGAGTTACTCAGTGAGCTCAAGGCCAGCCTGGCCTACAGAGTGAGCCCCTGTCTCAAAAACAACAAACAACAAAAGACCTGAAGAGCCACCTGGGCAAAGAAGCTGGACAGACAGCAAACAAGCACATGAACAGGGCCACCTCACAGGCCACCAGGAACCACAGGCTACAACAGCCAAGACGCCATGTGCACGCCCTGTCAGAAGGCCCAAGCCCAGGCAGCTAACAGCGAGGGAGCGACCAGAGTCCCCAGTCTCTGGTGAGAGTGTGAAGGGCACAACCGCTCTGGAGGCCAGGCCGGCAGGTCCTGCACAGCCAAGCCTGCTCCCCACTCAAGCCTGTACCTGCAGCGGGGTGGAAGGACCCCAGCCAGAAGCGAGAAGCTCGGCCTTCAGCAAGGAGAAGGGTAACGAACTGCATGCGCCTGGATGATGGGATGCAGCCATCAGCCCTGCAGGCCTGCAGGAAGCCTCCAGGCCCATGACAACAGGACGCAGTGACCGGAGTGAGCACCAAGCCAATCCAGGCTGTGACAGTCGGCAAAGCAGAACCTCAGAGACAGGAAAGGAGCCAGCGCCTTGAGGGCAGTGAGATTCCTGTGTGGGCCACCACAGCGGTGGCAGATTCACCTGTGTCCACCCGCTGAGCGTGCAGCCCACGCAGCACGGCCACACAGCCGGACGGCTGCAAACCCCACTGGTAGGGCTGAGCATGTCGGGGACAGGCCCAGGTGGGGCTCTCCACTTTCTACTCTGCTGTGTTGTGAACCTAAAGTCCTAAGAAATATTTATGTTTATTTTTTAAACAGGAAAGTCAATAATGCTGTAGGTATCGCACCTAGTATCAGCACCACTCACTGGGGAAAGAAATCTTTTCAACTAATGGCTCTGGGACAACTGCTGTCCCCATGCAAAGGAGCAATGTGAGCCCTCCCTCATGCCATCTAATATTCCTAACAGCCGGGCACACACGGTGTCCCACAGGCCTGCCATGCCAGCACTCTGGGGGGCTAAGCAAGAGGATCACAAGTTCAAGCCCAGCCTGGGTGATCTAAAGAGCGGACCCTGTCTGAAAATAAACACTAAAACTTGTCTGTGGATGGAGTTCAGTGCAAAGGCCTGGGGGTCAGTTCCCAGGATCATGAAGAAGAAGGGGAAGAGGAGAGGAGAGGGAGGGAGGGGAGGAAGAGGAAGAAAAATGAGCAGGAAAGAAATGAATTCACAATGCCCACAGACAGAACCAAGACTAAAAAACTCTCAGAAGAAAACAGGAGTAGATCTTCATGACTTAGAGTTGTTGACGGACACTTAGATATGACATCAAAAGCACAGCAATAAAGGAAAAAAGTGTAAGTTGGACCCCATCAAATAAAAGTGGGGGGTTCAAACCACACCACCAAGAACATAAAAAGACAACCTCAGAAGAGCAATGGGAGAAAATACCTGTAAATCTCAATACACGGGAACACATAACCTCAATGCACGAGAAATTCTCACCTCGAACAGCCCAACCCAGACATGAGCCAAGGGTCTCTCGGGACAGCACAGAAAGATGCATGCCAGCAGTACCCAAGCAAAGTGCGCATCCCAGACACCGCTTCACACCCACTAGGATTCCGATGCACCCGGAACCATGGCGTGTCACATGTCTCGAGGGCACACAGAGCCTCCTGCTACCAGGGGGGACATGATGCAGTGCAGCGGCTGCAGGCAGAGTCGCCCTGGTGGCTCCTCCACAAGCAAACCTGCAGCGATCCACTCTCAGGTTAGACCCTGAGGACGCCGTGCTCAGTGGGAGACACCAGGCACAGAGGACACAGCATGACCCCCATGGACAGGAAAAGCCCAGGACAGGCAAACTCTGGTCGGTCAGGTGTGCAGGGAATCAGGGATGGGGCTGTGTCACCATGGGGAGTGCTCTGTGCCAACCTCAGAACCACTGTCCCCCGCCAGGGTGACTCCCTCAGCGTCACCCACACCCTCTGCCCCAGGGGACTCACGTCGTCATACAGGGAGCCGCTGATGTCAGCCCCGTAGATGGGGGACACAAAGGTGAGGTTCTTCCAGTACTTGCGCTCAAGGTCATCGAAGTCCTGGTGCCTTGGGGTGCAGTACCTGGGGACAGCACCAGACAGCTTGCAATGACCCAGCACCATGGCCCACCCTTGGCCCAAAGGATACGGACACCTCTAGCACATAAGGGAGGACTCCTCGGGGTACCCAGGGACCGCCATGGGGGAGGCCAAGCCATCGTCATGTCCCTCCTCCTCGGTATCACACTGGGACCCAAGTCTCAACACAAGCTGGCAGCTGGGTGGAGGCCTTAGGGGACCAGGGACACAAGGTGAGGGGGACAGACCAGGCCCAGCTCATGGCACAGGCGGGAACACAGAAGGATGAGGAGGAGGCCATGGGGCAGGGAACAGGTGACGGCCTGTGCCCTTGGTGCGGTGAAGGAAGCCAGGAGCGGCACATGGGAGGCACGGCAAGGCCCTTGTTTCCGGGCTGCCAACTGACACTGCAGAAGGCGCGTACTTCTCGCTGTTGGCCAGCCGGCGGTACTCGCCCACGGTCATCGCCTTCTTCTGGATGTTGTACTGCGTGAAGAGCCCTGACTGGCCCGTCACCACCTGCTGGATGGGGGCCGGGATGACCACATCGTCAATGTCATCGTACGTCTGTCTGGGCTTCCACTCCTTCGGGGGGATGATCTGCAAGACAGGGAGGGCATCACGACAGAGCTCCCACCACGCCAGGTCAGCTGGGGTCACTGGACCCTGACCCTGGGCCCTGGGTCACGGCACAGCAGTGCCCCGGTGCCGGCCCCCTGTCCCTGTGGCCCAGAGTGCAGGGAAAGCAGCCCCCACAGGACCACAGCCCACGGCCCAGGCCAGCTGTGGTGCCTCAGACCACCAGCCAGGAGCTGAGGTAAAGTCCCTTGGTCCTGGGGTTTGTGACAGGAGAGGGTAGGGGACAGCTCAGGAGGGCACAAGGAGAAGGGAGGATGCACAGGCAAGGCCACAGGGAGAGCAATGACTTCAACTGAACTGAGGAAGTGACAGTTCCAACTAGGACGGGCAGAGGGGTGGGGACAGGGCCGGCTCACAGGGGGGTGCTGTGCCGAGCTGACTGGGACCCAGCACCTCTGCTCCCCGAGGCAGCCCAGAGGGGGGCAGAGTAGTGACCCCATCTACAGCTGAGGACACTGAGGCCACCAGCACCTGCTGGGAAGGGGGGGACAGGACTCAGAGCATGGTAGTGACCTGTGAAGTCCCAAGTCAACTCCAAGGCCGGGACAAGTGGAGAGGACAGAGGAGGAAGAGGAGGAGGAAGAGCCAGCTGGCAGCGCCCTCTGCAGGCCCCATCCTCCTCCTGGGCCCCAGCTGGGGCAGAAGGGGCCAGATCCCCAACTCAGCTCATCAGCTCCAAGCTGGAAGTGCCAGTGCCACACTGGGCACAGAGGCAGGAAAGCCCTGGGGACTCCGAGTTCATGGACAGCTCCAGGAACAGCTGGAGCCACTTGCTGTCCCCATGGATCCCACAATCACGATCACAGTGGCAGAAGCCTGTGTTGCGATGGCTTTGGCTCGGCTGCCTGCTGATGACAGAGGGCCATGGGGGGTTGCGCTCACCAACGCAGACATCCACCACCACAGGGCCCCGGCTCTCAGCCAAGCAAGCCTGACTCCCATGTGGCTGTCACACTGGGGGAGCCCTAGCCTGCAGCAGGTAGAGGCCAGGGACGCTGCTCAGCACCTGTGGTGCCCGGGACGCCCTCCCCAGATGACCTGGCCCTGAATGTCCACGGTGCCCGGAGGACCCTGACTTGGAGCTGACAAGGGACATGAGCCCCTCTCTCCAAAGACCTCTCCCCACCCCTCTCTCAGCCACAGCCAAGACACAAGGGCGCCTGGGTGCCCAAGTCTGGTGCAGGTTGTATGACAGGAGGGCCCTGAGGTCAGCTGCCAGCATGCAGTGTCCTGGGCCTCAAGCCAAGAGCTGAAATTCCAGGATGAGAGAGGGACACGGAGACAGCACAGGGACTGCTGGCTGGGCGGTGACGGAGGCTGCACCTCTCTCTCAGCTGCCTTTTCTTTTTTCTTTTCTTTTCTTTTCTTCTCCTCTCCTCTCCTCTCTTCTCTTCTCTTCTTTTCTTTTCTTTTTGGAGATCAGGTCTAACTTGCCAGGCTGGCATCAAACTTGTGATCCTCCTGCCTCTGCCTCCCAAGAAGCTAGAATGACAGGCAGCTCCTGAGGTGCTTCTGATGCACATGGGGGCCCCTGCCTCACAGAGCACCTGTGCCTCCTGCACAGGGGAGCCCGCAACTGGACCAGCCCTACCGGGCCTACCCGAAGGGACTGCAAACTGAGCTGCACTGTAGGAGGCTGCTTCACAGCTCTTTGCTACCCCACATGCTGCAGGAGGCTGAGGAAGGAGGACTGGAAAGCCCAGCCTGGGCAACTTGGTAAGGCCTGTCTCGCCAAAAAAACTACAAGGGGGCCGGGGATTTAGCTCAGTGGCACTGCACCTGCCTCGAAAGCACAAGGTCCTGAGTTCGATATCCAGTACCAAAAAACTAAATAAATAAAACTACAAGGCTGCCCCACCTGCTGTCCCTTCTGCTCAGGCACCCCTGTCACAGACACCGAAATGGGCCCGGACTCTGGACACGGAAGTTTCTGGTCTGCATGAGAGCTGCCTGTCCCTGACACAGGCCACCAGGAGCTGGGGGGCTTGGGGACAGGCACCGCACCCTGGGGAAGCTCAGCGCCTGAGGCCAACTCCTCTGTCCCCTCTCTGGAGCTCGCAGAGGCCCATTTCTACCAGGCCCGGGAGAACAGACAGGTCACACATGCAAAGCCACCAAGGTGGACATGGGCGATGGCCACGTAGGAGTAGCCGGGCCCTCCCCTGCCACCCCTGCTGGCTGCAGGCACCATGCACAGAGCCACAGCAACACCGAGGACACTGGGAGCAGCTGACCCCTGCAGGACAGACCCACACGCTCCCACGCACACGCACAGGGTGCTGAGGCTGAGGAGACCCACAGCATGTCCATAGCCAGCAGGCACTGCACTCTGCAGAGAGGCTAGCGTCCTGGAGCCGAGGCCCCATCTGGAGGAGCGGAGGTGCCTGCACCCCGAGCAGATGGTCCCCGAGCCCATCTGCTCCATGGTGTCAATACGCATGCGCCCTCTGCTCCTCTCCCCACAGCTCCCCAGGCCCGCCCCATCCTGCCTGTCCCCTCCATATCCAAAGGGGACCCCACAGAGAAGCCAGGCAAACTATGGCAGAGAGGGTCAGGGAGAGGGCTTAAAATGGAGTGTGGGCCGGGGTACGGCTCAGGGGCCACCATGGGCGAGGCCCTGGGTTCCATCCCTAGCTCTCATTTGTTTTCTTCATTTTTAAATGTTTGGGGGGGATCAAAAGGTTATCTCGGAGCAAGTGAAAGCGATGTGAAATTCACACTCCAACATCCAGGAATAAAGTTTTATTGGCAGCCCGGGAATTTAGCTCAGTGGTTTCACCGCCTGCTGTGCAAGCGCAAGGACTTGAGTTCGATCCCTGGTACCAAAAAAAAAAAAAAAAGTCCCATGGGCCGGGGATTTCGCTCAGTGGTTCCGCTGCCTGCCTCGAAAGCGCAAGGCCCTGAGTTCGATCCCCAGTACCAAAAAAAACCAAAAAGAATGGATTAAAGTTTTATCCATACACGCTCTGTGGCCCTGTTCCCTGCCAGCAACAGTGCAGAGGACTCAGCAGAGACTGGGGGACAGGCATCTAGGTACAGTGGGTTCACACAGGGCGCAACCCGCAGAGCTCAGAGACACACGCGATTCATCTTGGCTTTGAGCTGTGAGGTGAGTGGTCCCCATGGCTGAGGGACCTGTGTGACACAGGGGTCTGCCTACATTCACACACGCACGCACACACACACACCCACATGCACGCGTATACTGTCCTGGAAAGGCAACCTACAGCTGCCTCAGAGTTGCCGGGGTGGGAGAAGGGGCTCACGTTACCTCCCACCCCTGCCTCGCCCTTGCACTGTCATCTCCAACAGCAGCTTGACTAGGAACACAAGGGCAAAAGTGCAGCCCCCCACCCCCCAGCTCCACTCGGGAGACGTGGCTCGGCATCCAAGGCGCCTGCCCACGCCTGTGTCCCTCCCAACCCACCAGCATGTTGCCAATGGAGATCAGGGCCAGGGGCCCATGAGGAAAGGCTCACAGGGCCCTTTGCAGGGCCCAGTATGTCACCCACCTTGGCCAGGCCCGCACGGTGGGCTCCCTGCGATTCAATGTAGGCCACGTATTTGTTGAAGTCTTTAAACTCCTCCATAGTTGGGCGAAAAGTCATGATTTTGCAACTGGGGTTCTGGGCCCCATGGTCCTCAGACCCCATGGCTGCAGCTGCGTGGGCGCCACACCTACGGGGAGAGAAGAGACGGTGAGCTCCGACACTGCCGCCACCCCAGCCTCTGCGCCCTCAGAATGCTGAAGACACCCCCGGCCGCCGGGGACAATGGCACCCGGCCCAGCAGCCGGGGGCGGTGAGGAGGAACTGTGAGCTGGCCCCGTCCTGTCACCGCCGCGCAGCACAAAGGGCAGGATGACGCTGGCTAATTAAAGCAGAGGCGTCCCACTTTTGAGAGCCAAGGCGATACAGGAAGCCGGTGCACTTGTTTTAACTGCAGCCTCGGAACTAAAAGCTGTTGCTGTCAGGGACTCATCCTCAGCACTGGCTTGGGCTCCAAATCAATACGCACACTTTTTTTCCCTTAAATTCTTTTATTGGTACATTTTAGGTATATAATACATTTACATTTATCATTGGGTGCTTGTACCTGTACGTGACGTATCTTTTTTTTTTTTTACATGACGTATCTTGGTTCTTATTTTTTCCCCATTCCCTGTCCTCCCTTCCCTATTTACAAAGCCTTTGTTTCCATTTTTCCTATCTCTCATAATTTTTCCTTTCCCTTAATATGCACACGTCTGATGTGCACTCAAGACCACAGCCCTGGGTGTGCTCTTGCAGGTGAGAGAGTCCCGAGGCACAGTGGCCCACGCCTGTCATTCCAGCACTCTGGAGGCTGAGGCAGGAGGACGCCAAGTTGGAGTCCAGGCTGGGCAGCCCCCTCAGAGAGACCCTGGGGATGGAGCTCAGTGAGGAGTGGAGGAAGTCAGTGGGAAGGTCCTGGGTTCAAGCCCCAGGACCACAGAAAAAGGGAAGGGAAGGGAAGCACAGCCCATCAGAGCCCAGGCCAGAGTAGGGACTCGTGCCCGGCTGCAGGGCCTGGTCCCTGCCATCGGAGACACTCAGGTCCCCCCAGCTATGCACACGCCTGCGTGCTGGGCACATGGACATCACATGGAGTCTGTATGCCACCCAGAGCCTTTGTCACCAGCCTGGTGTCCCATCAGGAAGCACAGGCCAGAGCTGCTCCCTCCTGTCCCTGGCAGGCCCACCAAACCAGGGAGGATCCTGCTTGGCCATGAAATGCTCCAAATGGAGTGCAAAGGCCCCAGGACCCTCCAGACAGGTCCGAGGTAAGAGGAACCACAGTGCGCACAGACCCGAGAACACAGGAAGTTGGCAACACACACCCCGCCCTATAGCACTGAGCCACCCAGTGAGAGGCAGGGCCTCGCCTAGCTGAGGGTGCCCTGTTGCCAGTTACAGCACCCCATGGCAGCACTAGAGGGCAGCACGAACCCAGGAATCCCATGCAAGCAGCGCCTGGAAGCCCAGGTACGGCCACCCTCGTTTAAGCAGAAGCAGTACCTCCGGGGACACCCACCCCCCTCACCACCTGCCCTCATCTACCCAGGTGCACTTGGCCAGCCCACTCTCACCTGGGCACAGGGAACTCAGCACTGGGGACAGTGGCCAACCCACTGGCTGGACTCTGGTGAAGGGCTACCGTGGGAACACCCACACCAGGGCCACAGCCCCCTGCTCTGTGCAGCCGTAGTGCCACCAGCCAGGGCACACATGTGCCATGGACAGCAGGGCACAAAGGACCGGGCTGTTGTAAACACCCCCTCCAGGGAGCAGGTACAGCCATCCACCCACCCAACAGTTGCCAGGAGGTGAGTCTCAGGGCCCCAAGGCCACCACATTGGCCCAGCCAGCCCGAGACCCACCTCGCTGCCTGCAACTCCGCAGCCCCCAGGCTGTGTGGACCCTCAGTCCCTACCTGGCCTCCCCCTGCCCCACGCTGGCCACACAGGGCCTCCCAGGGTGACACTGGATCTGGGCTAGACAGGACTTCCGGGAACGTCTCTGGGGAGCTGGCAGCCTGGTGGGACCAGGACTTTGATGGGGCCATCAGCGTCACTGTGGAGCTACGAGGTCTCTGGCCTGCTGCATGCCTGGCGGGTGGAGCCTGACAGTCCTCCTCTGACACAGGGCCCTGCCACCGGGACACACCACGCACACCCATGCTCTGGGGCAGCGGCAGGACTCTGTACACGCACACTGGCAAGGGACCAGGGACCGTGCATGGCTGTTTCGCTCTACTTCATTTGTACTTTTTGAAGTAAGTTTCCTTGTCTCAAAGTAAATAAAAGGGCTGGGATGCAGCTGGGTGTGGAGGCTCTGGACTGTCCCCAGGGGAAATGACACCTGTACACACTTTCTACAGGATTTGACTGGAGCCCCACCTGGAACCCAGCCTCCAATTCAGCACAGATGGGGATGGCAGGCCTTGTGAAGTCCCCATGAGGACCCCAAGCTGTCCAGAGTGCTCTACACAGAAAAGTGGAGCCCTTAAACTATAAGGTGAAAAACAGCCTGAGTTAAAACCAGCCAAGCTCTTGAACAGGCATTTCTCCACAGCAGACACAGATGAGCATGTGAAACCGTGCTTAGTATCGTTCAGCGACTGGGGAATGAACAGTAGGGCCACAGAGGAGCTGGGTACAGCAGCGCACAGCTGTCAACCCAGATGTTCAGGAGGCTGAGGCAGGAGCATCGTGAGTCTGAGCCCAACCTGGGTAACTTAGCAAATTCCCAAAACCTGTCTCAAAGTGAAAAATAAAAAGGGCTGGGGATGGAGCTCAGGGGTGCACACTTGCCTAGCGTGCTCGAGGCTCTGGGTTCTACCCTCAGCCAAAAAGAAAAATGATCATCAAGAAGCTAACACTTCACACCCTCTAGGATGCTGGAATCAGAATCAGGGGCAAAGACAGTGTTGATGTGGACCTGGGGGAAGAGGAGCACTCGCCCTGCAGATGGATGGGGTGCGACACGCCACAGAGCTGCGGATACAGCCAGTGTCTCCACCAATGGCTCAGGCCAAACTTGATATGTTCAAGAGAAGTGAAAATACACATCACGTGGAAAGGTGCGTGCACAGCAAGGACAAAGGGACACTCGAAGGAACAGGACCCACCCTGGGGGTGGGGGGACATTCTGGAACAAACTGCAGTGACAGCTCCACAGGCCACCACTTTCTGAAAGGGAGCTGGCGGTGGACCTGCGTCTCAGCGACACTGGGCAGAGGGAGGGGTTTGGACGGAGTGGACCGAGCCCTGTGCTCCTCAGCTGGGCCTTCTCACTCGGGGACAGGAGCGGCCTCGCCACACACATTTTAGGGACAAGTGGGCAGCCGTGGAAAAGGGCAGGTAAGTGACAAGGCCCATGGTTACACGGGACGGGACGCGTCCTCCCTAGGGCGGTGCTGGGCTCCTCACGCACGTGTCAGACTGTGCTGTCCCCACCGCCCTTGTCCACCTCAGCCCCCGCCTGGAGAGCACACATGGGGCTCGAGGCCCTGCCGCCCGCCCCATTGCGTCCCTATCAGATCCTGCAACGTGACAGACGCTCGGGCCTTGGGAGAGAGGTGGTCACCAGGGCCTCGACAAGGAGGGGACACGCTCTGTGAGCTGTGGATCTCCTCCCACACCCACCAACACAGTCCCGCCCGAGGCCAGCCCAGCATCTGGGAGCTGCTCAGTTCCCTTTTGCTTTACTCTTGGGTTTTTGAGACAAGGTCTTGCTCTGGAGCCCAGGCTGACTTTGCACTTCACGCTCACCTTCAAGGCAGGAAGTTGGCCATGACTCCTCACCTTCGGGCCCCAGGACCGCCCAGGCTGGGCAGCGGCCTGCGCTCATTCCGGAGGCAGAGGGACCAACTGACAAGCACCATCTCGGAGCAGGGGAGAGGGAGACAGAGCAGGCCCAGGAAAGGCGGCTCAGTGGTGGCAGGAGGAAGCTGGGGAGGGAGCATAGGGCACCAAGAGGGCTGGGGCAGAACATCCCGGCAAAGGGGAATGGGGGCAAAGCCAAGGCTCCGAGGCTGAGGGGAGGGAGTGTGGGGCGGGGCTGCTTGGGGCCGCCAGGTGGATGCTGGCAGAGGAGACCCAGCCTGCTTCCGGGCGACAGCTTCAGGGAGCTGCGGCCTTGCACGGACCAGGCAGTGCAGAGGCCCCACGCTGGGCGTGACAACCATTCTCAGCAGCCTGGGGACAAGAGGCCCTGTGCTTTCATCCTGCTCCAGCCCCTGCGGAGACACTGAGGCAGGGGACCGTGAGGGAAGACGGCTGGGTGGGGTCAAGGCCTGCCAAAACACTGAGAGGAGAAACCCAGGCTGTCTGGGTTCTGTTCAAGTAGGACTGCAGCTCTCACTGCCAGAGACCAAGCACAGGAGCGAGAAAGGGGTGGACAAGAACTGCAGGGACAGCCAGGTGTGGTGGTCGTGCCACTGTCGTCCCAGCACTCTGGGAGGCTGAGGCAGAAGGATCCCAAGTTCAACCCCAGACTGGGCAACTTAGTGACTTAGTGAGACCCTGTCTCAAAATGAAAAATAAAAAGGTCTGGGGATGCAGCTTAGTGCCAAGACCCTGGGTTTGCTCCCCGGTACTGAAAAGAAAGAGCTGTGGGGGCAGAATGGTATGCCAGGGCAACCCCATCCAAGTCCCGGGCTCCTCATGGGGCAGGAGACGCTGCAGCTGGGACTAAGAACAGAGACGGAGGCAGGTGCAGTGCAGGGGAGAGCAAACGTCCAGTGGCACAGCACAGGGTCCTTCCCCACACACTCCAAAGAGCACACAGACCAAGGCTATCCCAGATGTCCTGGTGTCCGGTGTCCTAGTGAGAGGGAGGCCAGCGTCGGAAGGAGCCTGGAGGTTGGGCCAGAGGCTGCAGTGATGCGGCCACCAGCCAGGGGATGCAGTGGCTTCCAGAGGCTGAGCAAAACCAGACAAATCTTCCCTGAGGGAAGACACCACAGATACCCGACCACCAGAACCCTCGGCCAGCAAACCTGGGGCCCTGTGTGACAGCAGCCGCGGGGACACAGGGGACCACACAGGGTGCTGACAGCGCCCAGGACACACACATCCCCTGCCTGAGCTGAGCGCAGGTGGGGACTCCGGGGCGGCAGGCAGGGAGAGTGTGCAGCAGGTGCTCACCCAGCCACTTCTCGCCAGGGTCTTTCTTTTCTTTTTGTTTTATTTTTGCAGAACAGGGGTTGAACCAGGGCCTGGTGCCTGCTAGGCAGGTGCTCGCCCTGAGCCGCACCCCTCTGTGGAGAAAAAGCATCCTTTCCTCTCCTCCTTCTGAGGCCTAAGAACAGCTGTTTCCGACCTAAAAACCACAGGACTGAATGCTTCCAATGGGTAACTGAGTGCTCTGTGACTCCTGTCTCAGAGCTAGGATTATTTGAAACAACGTAAAAAGACAGCAGTTTCCCAGGGGTCCCCACACACCTCGGGCTGGCCCCGGGCTCCCTGTGTGAACACCGACCAGGTCCTGCAGCCAGTGTCCCCATCCTGGCCAGCTTCTCCTCTGCCCAGGACAGCTGGGGACGTGTGGCAGAGGGGACAGGCCAGGCTGGGAGGAGGCCTGCTCCGGGCTCAGCAGCTCTTCTAGGGCCCCAGTCACAGACCACTGGGGGCTCCCCTCCCAGGCTGCTGTCCCGAAAAGTAGGTCGTCACCCAGTGCCATCCGGCAGGGGACTGAGGCAGGGACAGTCTGACCCCTGCACTGCCATTGCCATAGCTGGGCACTGTCCTGTCCGCCTCCAACACCTGCCCACAGAACCCAGGGTCAGCAGCCTAGACCAGTGTGTCCTCACCGCCCCCAGAGAGGCCTGGGCACAGGGAGTCCCCCAGCTGTCACAGGAAAGACGGGCGTCTGGATGCAAAGGGCCAGGACACAGTCGCAGCACCCAGGACAGCAGGGAGAAAAGTCCAGAAGAAACCTATGCCAAGCTCCTCACCTCGCAGCTCCCAGGTGCGTTCTGGTGGCAGAGGCTGCTGAAGGACAGGTGCTCCAGTAATCGGCCAGGATTTCTGTCAGGCTCCTCTTGCAACGCTGACAGCTCCTACAGGGTGCAAATAAAGCCACAATTAGACTCCAGGGGGCTCCAGTTTCATCCTCAGTGACACCCCTAGCAGGTGCGTGTGGCCAAGGACAAGTCTTTTCTTCTCTTTTTCATTTTTGAGACAGGGTCTCACTAAGTTGCTTCAAACTTGGGATCCTCCTGCCTCAGCCTCCCAGAGTGCTGGGATTACAGGCCTGCACCACCATGCCCAGCTTCACAAGGGGTTTGGAATTACATAAGTTTGACAAACACCCTTAGAACATGCAATATCCTGTTTTTTTCTCTTATTTTAACCTGGATTTTTCAAAACTGCTGGGCAGGGCCCATCCCTCTGATTTTACTGTCTTTTAAAAGACAGCACCCCTAGCTGGAGGCAAACTGGAATCAAAGCACAGGCTTTGCCCCTCCTCCTCAGGACTGGGATGACTGCCCAGCAACCCCCAGAGGGCTCCTTGTGCCCTCTGGCTGCACAGTGCAAAGCATTCCTGCTCCACAGCCCAGCCAGCACCAGACACAGCCCCACGGAAGTCAGACACTGCCTGCGCTGAAGCCCAGGGCCTTGGGCACCCCAGAATCCCTCAGTGTAGCTGTGGCCAGCAAAGCAGCGACCCCCAAGGAGCCCCTGCCCTGCCCCCAGGACCTGTGGCTATGTCCTCTTCCATGGGAGTCTGCAGATGAGATTAAGTGAAGAACTGCCTGGCTCAGTGACACACACCACTAATGCTGACTACTTAGGAGGCTGAGGCAGGAGGATCAAAATTTAAGGCCAGCCCGAGCAACTCAGAGACCCTGTCTCAAAATAAAAAACAATATGGCTAGAAATGTTGCTCAGCTTAAAGACCCTGAGTTCCATCCCCAGTACCACAAAAAAAAATAATAATAATAAAATTCAGGACCCTGAGAGGGGGATCATCCTCCTGGGTCACTCAGGCCCCAATGTCCCCCAGGGTCTCCCTGAGCAGGCAAAGTAGGGTGAGAAGTCGCAAGAGGCTGAAGACGGCACTGCCATTTCTCCGATGGAGGATGGGGTGGCCACCTTTAGGAGCCTGGAGGGGTTGGGGTCCTCCTGGAGCCTCAGGAGGAACGGCCCCACCGCCCTCAGCTGGACTCAGCCCTGGGAGGCTATTGGCCTCCTGACCCCAGGGCTGAGTGAGAATGTGCCTGCCCCACTTCAGGCTGTTTGTGGGTGGCCAGAAAGGTAGCCTAATGAGCACCCTGGGGCCACAGGGTAGGGCACCCCAGCAGCACGGGGCCTGAGAGGAAAGGACACCAAGCGCAGGGGCAGATCCCAGCCTGCCCCCGCTCGAGGTCACCATGCCATGGAGCCCAGGGGCCCTCCTCCCACTCCCAGCTGGTCAGGCTCTGCTCCAAACAAGGTCAAGGGCAGAGGGCTGAGGGCAGGCAGCCTCCCCTCAGGACAGGCTGTGCACAGGACTTCTCTCCTTGAGCTATGCGTGCAGGACTCATGGGACAGAGTCGCCTGCCTCACGGTGGGAAAACCTGATCAAAACGACGCCAGCCAAGGATCACACCGAGTCACGGGGAGGGCATCTGTCCTGGACGGGGTACGATGACCTCCCCCACACTCTCCTTGCCAAACATCACCCCAGGGTGAGAGTGAGAGAAACCGCAGATGAACCCCAATCAGGGGACATCCCACAACCCACCTGGACTCTTCTCAAAACTGTCAAGGTTAGCCGGGTGTGGCGGCCCACACCTGTCATCCCAGTACTCTGGGAGGCTGAGGCAGGAGGATCCCAAGTTGGCAATTTAGTGAGACTGTCTCAAAAAAAATAAATAAAAAGGGCTGAGGATGCAGCTCAGTGCAAAGGCCCCAGGTTCAATCCCCAGTACAGCACCATTAAAAAAAAACCAAACTGTCCAGGTCATCAAAAGCAAGATAAACCTAAGAATGTCACAGCCCAGAGGAACCTGCAGAGGTGACAGCTGTGTCCCATGAGACACAGGATGGGGCTGGGACAGGAGCTGGACATGAAGGATAAACAGGAAATGTGACCAAAGTGTGGACTTTGGTGAATCATCCTCAGTTCCCAGCTGCACAGGCACCATGGAAAGGTGAGCAGTGGCCACAGGAAATGGGGAGGGCAGCGTGGATGGCTGTCCTGTGCCAGCGTTTGAGCATCTGAGGCCGCTCTACACACAAGCCTGCTTGCTGAGGGGCAGAGCAATCAGACAGGCCACGTCCTGTGCCCAGCCGGCCCACTGGCCGCAAATCTGAGGCACCGAAAATAGAGGTGATGCGAGAGTCAGGGCCACCCCAACAGGCCTGGCGGAACAACCCAGGCACCCTGAGAGGCGCAGTCTGCCCTGCAGATGCCAGCACGTGCCCATGTCCCACTCCCCCTACCCCTCTGCACAGGGACAGCAGGTACCCAGACAGGCAAGGGGCCAGCCCTGCATCTGTACAGAGGTGCAGGGACTCCTCCTCACAGGTGGCCTCTGGGGACCGTGGGCCCTCACTCCACCCAGAGGGGGCAGAGGTGCTCCTGGCCCTGGGGCTGTGGGACTGACCCTCGAGGCCCCTTGCCTACCCCGGTCCCGGGGCTGGGGACGGTTGGTGCCAGGAGGCACAGGTCACTTGGGAAAGGTCCCCACCTGCACAGCCTCAGGGCCCAACCCCACCTGCTCCTCCTAGGGCACAGCCAGAAGTCACCTCCAGAAGGGACACTCCTTTCCTGACTCTGCCAGGCCTTGGCCCACCAGGACTATGGTCCCTTCTTCTGCAGAGGATGCCACGTGCCCATGCAGGGTGGGGACGCAGCCCATTGCCCAGAAGGGATGAGTCCCCAGCACAGCGCCACCCTGTGGGCAAGAACACAGCCCCTCCGAGGACGCCACACACACAGGGCGACAGGCACGGTCACACGGGTGTTGGTGACAGGCCCTGGAGCTGTGACACCTACAGCATCACAGTCTCTGGATTAAGGCATCTAAGTGCCACCTCCACTGCCAGGAGATCCAGTCACCTCAGGGCTGGGGCTGGGGACACACAGGAGTTCAGGCCCTGGGCTCAGGAGGGATGCGCAGCAGGGACACAGGAGAGAGCCCCAGGGGAGGACTCTCACAGCAAAATCACTAAGGACCTCACCTGACTAGAGCCACAGAACAAGCCAGGTGGAGTGATGTGGCCCTGTCACCCCTACACTCTGGAAGCTGAAGGCAGAAGGACCTCAAGTTGAAGCCCAGCCCAGGCAATTTAGCAACTTAGCAAGACCTTGGCTCAAAGTAGAAAGGGCTGGGGATGCAGCTCAGTGCAAAGGCCCTGGGTTCCATCTCCAATAATGAGCAAAAAAAAGAAAAAAAGAAAAAAAGAAAAGAAAAAAGATGCAAAGAGCCCGGGAAACAAGAGACCTTTGCAAGTCCTGTGTCTGAGGAAGGACTAGAATCCAGAATACGTAAAGAACATCCACAGCTCAAGAGCTAACAGGGAACACAGGCCAAGGGTCTGAGCAGCCAGCTCTGGCCAACAAACACATGAAGGGATACTCAATGTCACAGCGACAGCACAAAGAAGCAGGAAAGAGCCAGACCCACAGCATGGGCAAGGACAGCCGGGCCTTGGGAACCCACTCCTGAGCTCAGCACCACCCTGGAGGAGGCTCGGGTGGGAGAGGAGAGGGTCCCTGGGGCACCAGGCCTTGGCACAAGCCCTGCACTGCAGGACAGGAGGTGATGGGGGTACAGTCACGCAGCTTGCCACGCCCCTCGTGACAGGGGGTGTGGGGCAGGGCCTGCTTCAAGGTCCATTAAGGCTCTGCCTCCCACCCTAGCCTTGCCCAGGTCCTAGTTTCAGCTTCAGCCCTGTGACTCATCTCTGCTCTGGCACCGGTCACCTTGCTTTGTGCGGGTCACCATTCCGTGCCTATCACACCAGGCACATCCCTGAGGCTGCCACCTCCTAAGTCACCCCAAGGGCAAAGCAGGTGGCACAGCAGGTGGGGTGGCCAGGGGCATGCCGCAGGGCCAGAAGGGACACAGTCATCAGAGCAGAGAGGTAGAGCAGCCTGGGCCACGGGCATCAGGGAGGAGGCGCAGGCAGAGCTGCACCAGGGTCTGGGAGCAGCAGGACACATGGACAGGAGGAGGCTGGGCGCCAAGACAGGCTGGCCCTCTGGACCCTCACAGTCCCCGCTGTCCTTCACCGAGAACACAGCCACCCTCCATCCTAGCCCCGCCTACAAACTGCCTCCTCGAGGTCAAATCTGGGTCCAGACGCGCATGTGCGGCTCACACACCCGGGTCACAGTGACCTGTGCAGTCTCCAGCACCGCCAGGCATCTCAGGCTGCCCCGCCCACCAAGAGCCTGCGCCAGGATGCAGAGACAGGAGGGTGAAGATGGACGCCCTGAGGACTATGGGCTGGGGCTGGGAGCAGAGGGGCTCGTGGGCCAGTGCCCAGCAGGGCAGGGCAGCTGACATGGGGATGGCAAGGACCTGCCATCTGGAGGGGCTCCGAGAGTCTCTACCACCCCCAGAAAGGGCTCTGAGAGGGTTTGCAACCCAGACCCCATGTCCCCAGCAGCAGGCCCGCCCAGTCCACAGGAAAGCCACAACAGGGGTACACGCAGTCACAAGGCCTCAGAGGACCCCGGGGAAGCAATGGACGCGTGGGGACAGACACTGGTGGGAGAAGGGATGGAGAGGCATTCAGCGCCTCTGCCGGTACCAAGGGGCACTGCAACGCACAGGGCTGAGGAGGGCTCGCTCCTCCGTGGTGCCGCCTGGTGGCTGTGTGGAAAGAGGCAGGGCCCCCCCCTCACAGGACTCCCAGAACAAACCAACTCCACGTGCGCAGGGGATCCGAGTGAGGAAGGGGATCACCCGGCTCCTGAAGAAAGCCCAGGATCCCTGGCCTCAGTGGCCTGGGTGTGGGTGGAACGTGTGGCGGGCTCTGCAAGGGGGCTGAGGAGGCAGGGCGGCACGGGTGGCACAGTGGCCCCGTAAGGGGAGAAAGACCCCAGCTGGCACCGGCCCAGGGG